AAAGAGTAGAGAAAAAAAATTTACAAAAACAAAAAATTAGAGAGTAGAAGTAACTTTATATTTTGAGAAGGAGAATGAGAGAAAAGAAGAGAGAAATCATATATTTAATCAATTTCATGATTTGCTATTTTTTGAGAGGCTTGTTATATATAACAAGCCAAAGTTAACATTTACCAAGTATGTTATACTATAGCAAGCCCCTTGGAGCACAAAAATTGAAATGAATTGCCAAATAATAACATTTAACAAGCCAAAACTCAATGGTGGGAGATGCTCTAATAAAAGTCAAATACTCCGTATAACATTGCAAAAAAGTTATGCTAGGATAAATATAGAGAGAAAAGATAAGTAAATTAAATACTCCCTAGTAAATGCATATGGACTTACTCAGCACTTGTTCAGCCGAGAATCTTCTGGAAACGTCCTTGCAGAGCATCCTCCGGAGCAGATCCTTAGCTCCCGGCGATACGGCGCTGAAGATCCTCAACGGAAACCGGAGATTGGCTCTGAGTACGGCTTCGAAGATTTTTTCCGCAGAGTCCCCGTAAAAAGGCGGGACTCCGGCGAGCATTATGTACAGAATGACGCCGGCGCTCCACACGTCGACCTTCTCCGTGTAGTCCCTTCCGGCCAACACCTCCGGCGCCACATAGTATGGCGTCCCCACCACTCCGCTCATCAGCTGGCCCTCACCGAAACACTCAGCCGAACCGAAATCGGCTAGTTTCATCTCCCCCCACTCGTTGTAGAGCACGTTTTCCGGTTTGATGTCCCTGTGAGCAACGCCGAGCCGGTGACAATGCGCGATCGCCTCCATTAACGGTGCCTATTAAGCGTTTTAGACCAAAATAGAAAATAAATTCAGAAATTCACATCAAATTCCGTCAAAAACATAGATTAATTTCAAAAAAAAAAAAAACAAATTAAATTTCCTCAAATAAATCTACAATTAGTAGAGAGCATTCCTGATTAGGAATTAATATTTCTCTAAAAAATCAAAATCACTGTTGCAAAAAATACGGAGGAGCTATTACTCCCGTCCGTACTAAATCAAATTAATCAATCAGAATGCAGCAGCTTCGATGAATCGATCGTCCATAGAATCGGCAAAAGGGGGGGGAATCAAGGATCTGAGAAACAGTACCATAACGGTTAGGGCTTCGGCCTCGGAGAAGACAGGGCGGGAGGAGATACGGTGGAAGAGATCGGAGGACGCGCAGAGCTCGAAGACGAGATGGAGGTGATCGTCGTCCTCGAAGACGTCGAAGATGCGGAGGGCGTAGGGGTTGGAGGAGAGACGCAGCATGACCTTGGCTTCGTTGAAGAGGCATTGTCTGTCGACGGAGTCGTCGGCGATGAGTCGCTTCTCGATCGATTTGACGGCGAACGCCTCGCCGGAATCCGGAGAGTAGCACTTGAAGACGACGCCGAACCTCCCCCGGCCGATCTCCTCGCAGACTCGGTAGCTCCGGTTCAACTCAGCGCTCATACCGCAGTGTTTTGGTGTGGGCCTCTTTCTCTCTCTGGAGGGGTTTGCGGAGAAGTTGTTTATGTAGAGAGTGAGACTTGGAATTTTTACCGTGGAATATCAGGTAAAAATATTTTTACAGCCAATGGGAAGCTGCCATTTGTAGCTTTCGGTTTGAACCTGGAGAAAACGCGGTTAACTCCTCGGGAAAATTTATCTCAATTTGGATTTTGGGGAACGGGGAAGCTTTATTCTTACGGAGTACGGACTACGGGGTAACGCCGTAACGGTGCACCGCCCTCAACTGTTTCTGTCCCATTAGAACACAAATACACAATACTTCCTCCATCATGTAAAATAAAACTTTTAAGTTCTTAACTTAATTTTATTCAAAGATTTCTATAAGAATAAAAAATAAAATTTATATACTTTAGAATTACGTAAAAAAAATTTAAAACAAGAGATGATAAAAACATTTTATTTTATTAAGATTCCGTTTGGCATTCACGTTAGAGGTTATCGTTTTGAAAACTATCTGACGGTAGTTTCTAGCGTTAGCATTTGTTGAATTAATTTATACATTAAAATTTTATTTAAAACGCTAATGCTAATTGGAAACACTCTTCTCAAACAAGGCCTAAATAATTGATGAAAATACAAATAAATAAAATTTTGCGTAATTTTTAATAGCTCAATGACATTTTTTTGGACGGAGGGAAACTAATTTTTTTTATCAAGACTTTGATTTCTAATATTTCACAAATCTGCATAAACAATGATTAACAATGTGTCCTATATATTGCAAAGTACCAATATTTGCAATACTTTGATAAGCTAAGCATAGAGTTTCTGCAAGTATCAGGTGAACGCTTCATTCTTTGCAATCAATCAACGATCAAAGTCCAATTTACATCCCCTCAGTGATCGTTTGGTCAGGTCTGAGAGGTCCTCAGAGATGGAGCTCATCCTTTTTTTGTAAAGTTCTAATTTTTTATTTAGAGATAAAAACATAGTACTCATAATATTCAATGTGATAAAACTTTAATACTCCATCCACCCCAATTTTGATTATAATTTTTTCTCTCCATCATCTCGATAACTATTAATTATTTATGTATTTACATTAATTATTGCATAAAATAAAATATTATTGACACCTCTTATATCGTAAAATTTTTGACATAATTTTAAATATATAATTTTTATTTTTTAACGATATTCCAATTTAAAAATAAAATAATTTAAAAAAATGGAACATAGGGATATTTTTATCTAGTTTACTGTTACATGACGCATGGGGTGACGAATAGAGGATGCAACTCCCCCAAACCCATATGACTTAAGAGCATTCACAATGGCAAGGCATTGTCTTGCCTTGCCTAGCCATGTCAGCAAATGTCACTCAAATCATGGCATTCTATGGTCATTCCACCTCACTTTTCATTCCATGTGCAATGCATGACTCTCTCATTTTTTATTTTTTTAAATATTTTAAGTATTTTTAATTTTTGAAAAAAAATATTTTTTAAAAGAAGTATACATATTTTAATAATAAAATAGATGTGTAAAATAATTTTTGATAATTAAAATTATTAAAAAGTATAAAAATAGACAAAAACAATGACTTGCCACTGTATGTTACGACACTCCACTTATTTGTCACATGGTGACTGAGTTACTTTTTATTAGTTGAAATAATCAATGTCACCTGTGGCATTTCATTTTTGTCTTGTCATTGCTAATGCTCTAAACCAAAAGTCCAAAAGGCAGTCTTAAACCTTTGATTCAATTTCATAAACTTTTAGTTTATGAAATCAAAATACTTCCAACTCTGATCCCCCTTCTCATAATGTTTTCCCATTTATTTTATATAGGATTATCATAAAAATAGAAAATAAAATTTATATATTTAAAATCTACATAAAAAATTTATTAAAATAAGAGACGACATTAAATTTTATTTTATTAAATAATGAAAGCATTCAAATAAACAAAAGTTTTCGTGACTTTTAGTAATAATTGTACCATTCTTTTTGAACGGAGGTGGTAACAATTACTCCGTAGTAAGAAGTGTGGTATAATATACTCAATTAAAAACTATTGCTAAATAAACTCTTCATTTTAACTATATTTACGTTTTTTGTATCAAACAGATAGGTTTACCTTTAATGTCTAATTATTTAAAAATGGAAAAGAAAGAAGTGAAAAGGTAAAGATGTCTATTTCTTATAAATTGAATGGATGAGTCAAATAGGCACGGTTTAATTAACACAATCCTTACAAACACAAGTACACAACAAATTGTAAGCATTCGATACCTAATGGATCTTAAATTATACTATTAAGATACTTTTGGACTATTTATTGATCATTTGAGTTATCCTCCAATTAAGTCTCTAAATATTACTTCCTTTCTTCGTAAAAGATTGTCATAAATTAATATTTTTGGTCAAACTGTGATATTTTTTTTACCACGAATTAAATATAATTCAAAATAGTTAAATATTATAAAAACTTGATATTTCAAAACTGTATTTTAAAACAAACCTAATTTTACAAAATTTTAAATTATAAGTAAATGTTGAAACACGGGCATGTCACGTTTTCGTACTAAAGCCGTGTTTGTTTTTATGACAGGTTTTGATAATGCCAAACCGCCGTGATCAAGTCAAACTTTGAATATACAAGGCGAAGAAGGAAGACAAGAACAAGAGCTAAAAGAAGACCAAGAACGAAGACCTTAGTCTTAGTGTCGTTGAGTCGGTCTTCATTGTGATCAAGACCGACCCAACCTTTACACCTTGGCTCTTTAGGCTAAAAACCTTCATTGCCCTTCTTAAATCATAAAAATGCTTTTCAAACATGTTTAAGTCATTAAAAACACTTGGTGTTCGCCCAAACCAAAAACCAAGCCATCCAGCGTTCGGGTTTCAGAAACTGGCGTTCGGCTCTCGGTTATCGGCTATGGTTTTTGGCGTCCGAACCAACCAAGTGGTTTTCAACTTTTTATGATTGGTTTTTACTCTTTGGCATGTTTAAACGGTTCTCCAACAAAAACACCTTGAAAACCATCTCTCGCTTTTGGTCGTTTGACAAAAATCATTCAAAACGGCATAAAACTTGGCTAGCCGTGGTTTTCACTTAAATGACGTGGTTTTTAAAGTGTCTTACTCGATTTATTAGCCAAATACATCAAATAAGTGTTTTAAACTCTTGGTTTTTATTTTGGAGAACTTTGAATTTTTCGGTCGGGTTACGCATCGGTTGGCTAGGTCGTGGTTAAGCCAAAAACCATGGGTTCTTGACTAACCACTCACCCAGCGATGGGAAGATCTTCCCATCGATGGGTAAGCGGCTCCTCAGCCAAACCAGTTTCCAGAACCATGCCAAACAGCGATGGGGAGTTCCACCCATCGCTGTTAGAGCCT